TCCCACGACCTGTGTCTCTTTCTTCTCCTGATGGAACACTATATCCTCCGCGCCACAATCATTCTTTGCCTCCGGCTCTTTTCTCTTTCTCTACGTCTCAGGGGTTGCGCTGCGCAACATAGCACCATCACACGGGCCACGGCCCAGAAACGATTTCCTTACCGATTGTCCTGTCTATTCTGCTTCGTTTGTTTGCCTCGGTTTTGGCGCTTGACCAGGAAGAACGCTTATCGTCACCGGACTATCCGAGCAACACATCAAACCTGGGGTGTGTGTTTGTGTGGAAGGCATGATGATGCGGTATGAGGGGACTTGGAGAGCGACACATTGACGAGATAGACCCTTTTTTATCCACCAATGTAATGCATAAAGCTGCCGCCACGATGGGTGACGAAGAACATGTGTACTGCTGCTTCGAGTGCTGTCTGCGCTGCCACCATGGCCAACATGGCGGGGCAACACGCTGCACACCTCGGTAGGTACATTGCAATCAGCCCTAGGCAATCAGAATCAGGTACGAGTGGATAGCAGTGTGAAGGCGGTGCTGTTGGCGTGTGTCGATCGTCCCTGTGCGGGACGATGACAGTAGCGTCGAGTGACGTGCCAAGGCTGGGAGGGTCTCCGCCAGAGGGAGCTTCGCATGGCGGGCGGCATGGGAAATCACATGACGTATTTCTTGCCGTGCCGAACTTGCCTCTACCGGAGACTGGGCGCTTGGTGCGACGATGGCGTTCTTCCAAGGCTCTGCGGGCCACTTCGATCGTGGACAGACAGTCCCCAAACTCGGGTGGAAGGTAGGCTGTCGTTTACGTCGTCTTTGCTGGCGAGTCCTGGAGCAGGTTCTTAGAGGAGAGGGCACTCGCTTTTCGCTCTGTGCGTTTCTAGGGACCCATTGAGGTGAGAAGAGGTGTTTCGGGAGCATAATACGAGGCGGATCGGAGTTTTCGGGAGTAACCTGCTGAGACCAGCCAACCATTGTATTCCTTTGCCGTTCCTTTGCAGGTCAGACCGTCCAAATGTTTCTCTGGTTGATGATGATCTGGTCCTGTGCCGGCAAAGACAGCCCCCATCGGAGCCTTTCGAAGCTCAGCTCGGCTGATGGAGATGTTTTGGGACCAGGGTCGGGGGACCGACTGAACCGTAGGTACCTCTCAATCAGCCGCAAGCCGTAATCCGTCAGCGGTTACGTAGGTCCCTGCCTTGGGTACCTACCTACCTAGGTACCTACCTAGGTGCCTAGTGCCTGGCCCATAGTGGCCTGCTGTCCTATTCCGCCCCCCCGCCTCACCCAAACCGCCAAACCCCTCTCCCAATCCTGTCGCTTCTAGCCTAATGGCCCTGACACCGACCTCCTCATTCTATCCTGGCCATGCGATGTCCTACCTCCGCGAACTTATCCTCCCCATGGTTCGACAAAGGACAGGATACCTATATGGGCTCAGACTTCCTCCCCTTGCGTCGACGCCTCTTGGGTCTCACATCGACGTCATCATTGTATGCCCTATGTTTAATAGGGAGGTCCTTGTCGCATGAGACGTCAGGCCACGCCCCGCGGACGCCCCGTGCCTCTACCGTCCTCGCCAGGAGTGTCCTGGCCCCCGACCCGCC